TTTTTTTTTTTTTTTTTGAGATTAACTATCAAATAACATTGAATATGAATTTTATAAAACGTCCATTTCATCATACTAATTCAACATCAACTACAGCAGCATCAAGTAATTTACGAGATCCACTTACTGTACCATCATCACCACCATCTGCAGCTAAAACAAATTCATCATTAACTGGTTCTGTTCGTTTTAATGATTTAATAAGTACTCAACCAAAATTTAATGAACGTGAAAAATATCTTACTGCGTAAATATTTCATAAAATTGAAAATTTTATTAAATAGTAGAATTTGTTTTGTTTTTGTTTTTTCTTATATTAGTAAATATCCTCAACAACAAATGCAATTAATACGTAAACGATTAAAAGTTGAATTTTGGCTTGATGATCAATTACGATCACTATATGATATAAAAGTAAATTTAAATTATTCTATATAGAATATATTAACGAGAAAAAAAAAACTTTTTTCAGGATGACAGTTCACAAGAAGATCATGATCATTGTCCAGGAGATTTAATTGATTCTCTTTTAGATATTGAAAATGATTCACAACGACGTACATTTCTTCTTGTAAGATCTTATCTTTCTTTTTTTTTCTTCCATTTATCATTATTAATATCTGAATATATTATTATATAGGAGAAATTAAGAAATGTCAAACAATCTCGTTCTATAATAATGGTATGTATGACAACATTAATCAATCATATTTTTCTTATCTTTTTTATCGTATCTTCTAGGAGTTCATTGATGAATTATTGCATCGTGTGAAAATGTTGTAATTATATAAGATTTTCTTTTTTTTTTGTTTGTTGTTCAATCAGGTTTTGTTTTTTTTTTTTTTTTTTTGAAATGAAACAAAAATATAATATCACAAAGAGAATATAAATGAAATAATTACAAAACAAAAATTATATAATTAATGATGAGATCTAAGTCGTTTTTTATGATTGTATGCAATATTTTCGGGGATAATAGATGATTCTGATGATGATGATTCAATTTCACCTTCATCACTTGATGATGAACTTGATTGTGAATGAAGTTCATTAAGAATAAATTGACGTAATTTTTTATAAGATTTTTTTTGATTCTGTAAAAATTTATCAATTTGATATGTTATTTCATCGAAATCTTTTCGAATAATTAAATCATATTCATGTTCATAATCTTTTAATTCTTGTTGACTAAAAAGAAAAAAAAACAAGAAATCATATTAAACTAATTGCATTTGTATTGTTCTATAAATTCTTTTTTTATAACAGACTAAAAATAATTCAAATTATCGTTTTTTCTTAATCTACTGTACAACAAAAAGAATATTTGAGTAACTAAACGATGTTTAATTCGTTTCTCACATATTATTGAATTGTCAGCTGTTACATATTTAAATTGATACAAGCTGACCTCTTATGTCATTTTATCAAAAGAATCAAATATGTTGAATATGATTTAATTAAATCAGTTGCTGATTTTATTATTGATGAAAGTATAGTTTTCGAATCGTTACTAATTTAAATAAAGAAATCTAATTATTATTGTTGGTTTATTATCAAAGTTATATCATGTCTTAGTGACATAACCAGAAAAAAGTTGTGGTTGGAAGGAAATCGGTATCCTGACCATGAACTTCTGGTAAGACTGCTAAACGATGGAATACAGTATGCATCCAGGTGGGCAATTAGGTGGAAAAACTATACTTTGAGACATGTTCTATCTGATGGTGTAAAGATTTTTGTTACGAATTTTAAGTAGAATGGAACAAATTGAATACAAAAATTAGCTTACAAACACCAGTATCAAAGAGAAAATCCATTTTTTTGGCAAAATTAAACAATCTAATAGATATGCTCAGTAGATATTTTGAATCTACATATCGTTTGATATTCATCATTGAAGAAATCTTTTAATTTGATTGTATGATTTTTTTAAGAAAAAACATGAAAGTTTTATTCTACACTAATTTTTAGAATAACTAAGCTCAGTAAAACGAACGAATGTCCTTTAACGTCAATCCAAATCCACTGAAACTATGTCAGAATTTTCTTGTATTTTGTGTTTTCTATCACGACAGTTTACATAAAATGCTCCTTAACCATATACAGTAGATATTCTACTAAACTTCGTCTTTTTTTCAGGCTCCAAAGTACTTCTAATGAAAATCAATTCTATATTCGAAATCAGTGAGCGAAACTATATCGGATAGTGCTTGCTACAAAACATTTTCTAACCAAAAAATATCCTTAAAAAAATGTGAGCAAGAGTTCTCGGCAGATGTTTTTTCACCGAAAAATTTTTTTTTTCTTTCTTAAAAGTGATTTTCTGAGTAAAAGAAAGCTGTTTTCGAGAATAAAAGTTAAATGTTCGTTTGCCATGTGAAAAATGTACACTGTAGAGGAGAAGGGAAGTTGAGGTTCCTGTCTGGTGACGCCATAATCATACTTTGGTATTCACAAGGGAAATTCTTCAACTGATAAATTGCTTTTGATTTGAGACTATGTACATTATGTAGATCTAAATAAACTATGAATACTCTGAAAAGAGTTCGTGCTCTTAGATTATTGTAGCGGAGATACTGCACTTTACGGTATTTTTTAAATGAATGTCGTACTAAGAGAAAAACTGATTCTCGAAATTCAACTTCATATTTTGCATAGAGACAGATGTTAACGAGAATAGTTTATTGTGAAAGCTTCGGTCTTTTTTTAATTTGCTTCTATTCTAAAAATAAGAACATAAAATATAATCATATCTTAGGATAGGAATAACGAAAAAAAAAGTCTGAAATATTCACATCAAACTATTCTCATTAAGATCTGTCTCCGTGTAAAATTTCATGTCAAAATTCGAAAATCAGGGTTTTTTCTTACAACGGCATTTATTTAAAAAATATCGTTAAAATGCAGTATCTGCGCAGTAATAAGCTAAGAACACGAACCTCTTTTCAGGACGTTCATAGCTTATTTGGATCAACATATTACATATAGTCTCAACTCAAAAAGGTATTTATCTGTTAGAGAACTTCCCTTATCAGTGTATTATAAATATTTTAGTCATAATTTTTATTGTTTTTGTCTTTCCTCAATCATCATGGATATGTAAATATTTTATTTTTATCACGTGTTTGGATTAAACTATAAAATCATGAATAATATAAGTATATATTCTAGGAATTTTCAGGTATCAACAAAATGAGTATGTAAGTTATATATCAATCATATGATGTAATTTGTAAAATTTTATGAATTCTAATCACTTCAAATAAAGTACCTGCTTGTTAGTGATGATTCAATATTATTATCTGATTGTTGAATATTGAATGGTGATGATATTCGATGTTGTGATTCCGATGAACTAAAACAAGAAAATGAAATTTTCTATAAAACAAAAACAAACAAAAAATTCAACTTAACAGATCTAATAATTGATTAGGAATAAGAGTTGATGTACGAAATTCATTTTCAATAATTCTATTATGATGATTAACTAAAAAAGATGAATATTGTGCTGTTTCAACATTTGAATTTAATCTTGGACGACAATATGAATATTTTGATATTGATGTTGATCTAGAAGATTTTTCATCAATTGATATTGATTCGATTTTAACTCCAGCTTCTGAAGGTTTTAATGGTTTTTTAACAGCAAGTGATGTTCGACCAGCAAAATAACGTTGACCAGGTGTAAATACAGATTGTATTGAATTAACTGATTCAAATTCAATATAAGCATGTTCTACACCATTTCCAGATGATGTACATATACAATTTAATATACGTCCATATCTAGTAAATGATTTTTTAATAGCATTTCGATTAAGTTTTGAATCTGTATGTGCAATACAAATTTTTCTATCTAACATTAAACGTGTTTCATCACGAAAAGCTGCTTCATAAGGATGTATATCAAGAACTATTCGACATATAATATGATCAATTTTATTTTTAAAAAAAATATTCATATCTGTATCAGATGAAAATCTTATAAAACGATAATCAATTAACCATTCATCAGCAGCACGTGTACAATTATGATATAAAGCTTCAATATTACCAAAACGTTGAAAATATTCTCGTAATTGTTCATCTTTAATTGATTGAATATTTCCAACATAAATTGTAGTTGATGTTGATGTTGATAAAGAATACATTCTTTATATATATTTTTTTAAATCTGAAACTAAATTCAATATACAAATCAATTGAAAAGAAAGTAAAAAACAAAAAAGAAAGACTTCGATATTTATTGAATTATTTTTCTAATTTGTTCATAATTCTGACGTGTTTTTTTAATTAATTCTGATATTTCATTATCGATTAAACTAAATTCTTCACGAATTTTTAAATTATATTCACGTTCTAAATAAATTAATGTACTTGGATCATTAATAGAAGTTGATGAATTCGAAATACTATTAAAACAAAAAAACAAAAAAAAACGAGAAATATTCCATAGAGAATATAAAAATTAATTGTAATTACTTTTGTTCTTCCATTTTATGAAGATCAACATCAGTTGGTCTTAATAATGGTAAAATATCCAAAATATGATCATGTATACGATGAAATTTTATTTTTCCTTTTAATAATTTATTTCTTGTTGCAGCTGATTCAAATTCAATATAAATATTTTTTTCTTCATTATGATTTATTTCTGAATTTGCTTGTTTTATTGTACCAAATGTACGTAAATATTTTTTTATATCATTAAGTGATATATTACTTGAAAGATTTTTTATACAAATTTTTCGATCAACATATAAAGGAACAGCTGTATGAAGAATATCATTAAATGATCTTACATCAAGACTAATTCCATTATTAAGAATATGAGGTGATGTCGAAAGAAATTTTAATGATGATTGTGCATTTAAAAAACGAACAAATGTAAAATCAACTAGAGGAGTTTGTTCTGAAGATAATAAACGACGTGAACAATCAAGAACAAGACCAAATTTTGAACAATATTCTAATAAATATTCATTTGATATTGTACGTGTATTACCTAGATACACGGTTGTTGATTCAGATTTATTTTTATTATTATTCATAAAATATATATCTAAAGAAATTTCATTAATTATTATTATTATTATTGACTTTGTTTGTCTGTGCATAATAAATTTGGGAAATATTTGAAAAGTTAATTATTAAGGTTTTTATGTGTATGGCTGGACATCAAAAGGATGATACTTCAATACAACAGATGTCTCTCATGAACAACGAAATGATTGATTTCTTTATAAATTCATGTAAAATAAAATGTTTTATGATTATTTTGTTTTTCTAAAATAAATGTACTAAGCCTTTAAATAACATATTGTTAAAAGATGTTAAATTTTCTCTTACTATAAAAAGACAAACTCCAGCTATTATTTCTAGAGTTTTATTCTTCAGCTATGACTTGGTATTGTATTTCAAAATAGAATTTATATGTATACACATATATTAAATATAACAGGCTAAATTACAAATAAAAGAGAGATAATGTGCATTATTCATATTCAGAGAATAATCTTGAGAAAAGAATCACGAACACTTCATTATTTTGTCAATGACATACATAAATAGATCATATAGAATATCATTCAAAGATGAATATTGATTTAGAATTTAATTTATCAAAATAATTTGTTTTATTTCACATATCGATCTACTCTTGGGAAATATCAATTATCTATATAAAGTCATGATAAGATTCCTCCTTGGAGTTTAATTAAATTGGTCTTGTCTTGTATTAAGAGCAAAATGATTAATTGTTCTATTACAAACAATAGAGCATTTTTTTGAATGGAATAATTACACAAAGTAAAGAATATTGTACTATGTTGCTTTTGATACAGAAGAGTACTTCAGCAACGAATCATTATTCGTCTTTTTCTTATGTCTCTAACAGGCTGCTAGTCTTAAGAAGAAAGAATTATGTTGTGTACTAAGCTTTTCTCTCGTTCAAGTTTCTTTCTTCTTTGTATTACGATCTAAATATTTATATTTGGGACTTCGTTAATCTGTTATTTTAGCTTATCGTCTCGTCTTCGTCTGTTCATTTTATTTAGTTTTCGAATAGATATAAGACAATCATCGAAACACTCCTGACATTCTTATACAACAACCAGTTGTAAAAGAATTATTGAAATTAAAATACAAATATTCTTTCTAATAGACTAGTTTTTTTTCTTCGTAACAGGATTCATATTCGTGAGTAATCTACGGATTCTCGTTCTTTAGAAGAGAAATTGTCAGAGATATATAAATAATACAATTTTCAGAACTATATTCATTTCTAGACATAATGTTCACATACTTAATCTACTATTATAACAAAATAAGGTTACAGACATACAAAAATCATTAACTGATGTTAGTGAAATAGAGATTAATAGGAAACTTGCTATATTCTTTGTAGGTTAAGATAAACAGTCGTCCATTCTATGTTCTCATATAACAACATTGTTGTCGTATGCTATTCATTTTGAGATGGCATAACATATAAAAAATATCATAGCACATTCTGTATACATCAATATTTTCTCGAGATACATTATAATAATTTGTCTAAATTAATAAAATAATGGCTAATAGAATATTCTAATAATTTCTTTCGTTCCCGTATTGTGACAATGAAAAGAATAAACATTGAATTTCTAGAAAAAACAATTTCTTCTTTATGTCTCTGAAGACTCAATATATCGAAATTGAACAATGAGAGCTTTTATAGTTTCTTTAAACTTTAAGTAGACCTGTTTTTTTTCTACAATCTATTTAGGTCAGATTAATTAACATCGCTTTGACCCCACTCGTTACTATTCAATCAAATTGTGCGCGCTATGACCTTTTGTCAAGCATAGCACCAACAGAGAAATATCTATCTATACATATACATATAATTTGACCTCGGGTTCATTCTCTTCTTTTTGTAGAACAAAACAAAAAGAGAAGCAACGAGACTTGTATTCATTCATTTTCTTATATTCAACACGATAGTCATCACGAACTAATGTCGTCAATAATTCATGCTGTTAGTCATGCTCTTACTGGACATGGTGAAAATTCAGAGAAAAAGTCTAATGTTCATACAGTTATCTGTGATGATGTGAAAGTTAAATCGGTTGTTAATAGTGAAACACAATCAAAAGCAACTATTCGACATTCACAAAATAAAATCAATGAATTAATGGCTAAATTAAGTAAAAAATGAAATAATTTTCTATGTATTAAAATTATTAAAATTTTTTTTTGTTGGGTTTTTATTTTTCTTTAGGTTCAGCCCATATACAAATTGATGAATATTCTCGAAATCGTAATAATGAAATATCAGAAGCTGTTAAAAATAGTATCGAAAAAATTGTTCATGAAACACAAATTCAGCAACAACAATTATTTAATCATACTCAAAAACAATCAGCTGAAATTGAAAATGGATATACAGAAAAATTAGTGTTGTAAGTTTAGAGAAACAAAAAAAAAATTCATTTTAAAATAAAAACAAAAAACCGTTTTTTTTTTCTTTTTTGTTTGTAATTTTGAAAGATTTATTAATCAACTTGATGAAGAAAAAGCAGCAACATTAGTACAACTAGAAAAAGATTTATATCTTCGTCAAGAACAAATTCTTGAATCAGCTAGAAAACGTATTGATGCATTAAATGAAGAAGCTAATCGATTAAAAATGGTAAATAATCTTTTCTTGTTGTTTTAATTTTTATCTGTATAATCTTTTTATTAGAATGTATTTAAAGAAGCTCAAGAAAAAGCAAATTTAAAAATTGAAGAAATTACTGACAAAGTTGCTCATGTAAATTATTTAGATTTATATAAAAAAACAACAAAAGAAATTAATTTTTTTATTTTATAGCTTGGTGTCGAAGATGCAACTCGTCGTTTAACAAGTACAACAACGACAGTTATAACAACAAAAGCACAAACAGAAAATCATGCAAATGATGCTAAATCAATGGCAAAACATTTTTGAAAGACAACTTTAAGTTACATAATCGACTTTATATATATATATACAAAATCTTATTATTTAATAATCGTTAGTCGATATCTTATTTCTTAGTTTCGTTTCTTTTTCTGGAAAAAAAAATTATCTTCTCTTGAAATAAACTCGCATGCAAATGTTTAAATTGATAGGTCATATATAAATATATTATTTTGTTGCATCGGTGTAAACAGTGAACAGAAAACAGAGATGCTTATCTATTTTTTTTAGATGTATTCGATTGTTAATAATTTTTTTTAACAAACAAAAAAGAAGATTTATTATTTTATGCTTCAATAATAGACAAAAGCACCTGGTGCTCTTACATATAGTTGATTATTTCAAGTTGAGAGAATTACTATGGGACATTGTATGCATTCGTATAAAAAAAATACGATGCAACAAAAAAAGGTTTCGAGGCTTGCCGAGTTTACTTTTTAGTGGAAAGAACTACGTTGTTCATATTAAATTTCTTTGCTCACATTTTAATTGAATACATCTGAATGATGTATTCAAAGTAGATACTAAAGTCATTCTCTATCGACGAAAATATTCTTGTAATTCAATATATTACATGACAAAATATTTTATCTACTTTATATTATTGTTATCTTTTCTATACATAAAAAAAAAATAATAATTACTATTAATGATGTATTTTGAGATTATTAGTATATCGAGATCAAGCTCTTATTGAACTAAAATCAAATTAAGAAAAGTGAGGAAACAAGAAAATAGGAAATTTTAAATCTCAAAAAAAAAACAAAGAGAATTTATTAATGAAACTTTGAAGTCGTAATTATCTTCAGTATCTTTGAAGAAAATTGAAGATATAATGAAGAAGTATTGCATTTAGAATTCAATAACAAGTGAACATTTTCTATAGATCATGTTCAACAAAAACAATCAGAAATAGGTTAACTTTAGCTGCTCTTTGATATATATTAAAGAAGAAATATGAGTTTGTAATCAATATATTTTGTTATCATTCAGACCAAAGGGTATAACCTTGAAAAAAAAAATCAACAAAAAAATAAAATATATTTTAGCTGTGAACATGAAACATATGCAACTGTTATTCTCTTCTACACGTTTCTAATTTGCTTTTGCTTTGTCATCTTTGTAAATATTTTTAATCCACACAGATGGATGCGATCTCATACATTCATAGGAGTTAGGAACGATTGGACTATATAAGGACCTTAGTTTTCACATTTGCATTCATCATTTCAATCTTCTCATCTTCACTTATCAAATTCGAAAACCGTAAGCAATGAAAGCTGTTCTTGCTGTTATCTTCTTTGCCTGCATTGCTGGCTCCATGGCTACCAATCCTGCTCAAGTTTTGGGCCCAATCATTGCACAAGGTCAAAGCCTTATTAACACAATCATCAATCAAGTTAAAGAACAAGCTCTTGGTCTTGCACAACAAGTTCTTGGTCAACTCTCATCAGTTGTTAGTTCACTTGGTGGCCGAACTGACATTTTTCAAGGCATTCTCAGTCAATTCTCAACTGTTTTGAGCGCTGCCGCTCAACAACTTCTTGGTAACCTTAACGGTATTCTCGGCAGTGTCTCTGGTCTCTTCGGTGGTATGTATACCCTCTTTTTTTTTAATTTCATTTCGAAAATATAAACTATGATGTTTCATTAATAGGTCGTGCTGAACTTAACATTGCCGGCATATTTAGCGACTTCCTCCAGAGTATTCAAGGATCAATTACTGGACTTGGTCAACATTTACTTAACCAAGGTTTATCTGCTGTTCTTGGTGGCCTCGGTGGAGCACGTGCCTTTGGTGACATCTTCGCGGGTAAGTAGACATATAGATATCAGCAGTAAAAGAAACATTTTTGTTTTAAATTGTAGGTCTCTCAAACCAATTCGCTACCATCTTTAACGCAGCTCAAGCTGCTGTCTCAGGTGTTGTAGGCAATATTGTTCAAGTTGGTTCAGGCATTCTTGATGCCTCAAAACCACACTGGGAACAACTTCAAGAACAACTTGTTGGTCATGGTGTCAATGTTCTTGGTTCACTCTCGGAAACCATCAACAACCTTCATGGTACAATCACCGGTGGTCGTTAAATGGGGAATTGGGAATGATATTTTTTTTTCCTCTTAATATCAGTTAATTTTTCCTTGTTTATGCATAATGTTCTTAATTGAACGTCAATAAACAGTTCTATAAAATCATTGTTGGCGCTCAAAACAAAAAGGCGAAATCTAAATGTCGATTGATATTTTAATTACAGTTCTGTTAATTTTAATTAATTTATTTGAGAGTATTCAATGTGCGAGTATTGATCTAATTCGATATCATGCAAATCTATATCGATGTGGAGAAATTATTATTGATGAAGATCTTATACGACCATTGTATTCATATTTTATTTTAATGAAACCAGAAGAACATCAAAATACAAATGATTTAATTCCAGTATTGCATTCTTTAGTGCGTATTGAAAGTGCATGTCGTACAGCATATTTGACGTCAAATAAAGAAATGAAAAATCCTTCAATTCTATATAATGGATTCAAATGGTTAAAATCAACATTTCGATCGTAAAATTTCATTTCAGCAATATATATATATAAATATATATTTATTTTAATTAACAAGCTGTCAATCATACGATTCACAGTTTAAGTCAGCATAATAATTCAGTGAACAATAAGAAAATAATAACAAGTTGTTGCTCTGTTCTATTGTGATCTTAATATTCTATTTTTGTAAATTCGATTCCTTAGAAAAAGAATTTTGATGAACAAGTATGTCAGAATGTCTTCATTCCAAGATTAGATAATCGGTTCGTTTCAATAATAAATTAGATGTAATTTTTTCAAAAAAAAGAAAACAAAGAAAAATCATTTAACTACTACTTGACCATACTAATCTAAATGTTAATATTGAAATTATCCGTTTAAAATCATTTTTGAAAGAAGAATTTATGATAAATTATCTTTGGTAATTTCTCAAAGTAAAAGCAACAGATATTCAATTCAATAAAAATTATGAACTAATGTACAGAGAACATTGCAAGTTCTAATTTTCATTGATTTTCATCAAAACACTTAAGCGAAGTAAATCAATAAATTTGTTAACTTGTTTGTTGAAAACAAATTAATCAGTAAGTTCAATATTCAATAATTAAACACATATTAAACTGCATGACTTACGTTTTACACGATCTTGAAAAAAAAAACATTAATAACTTTCGAATAGTTTTTTCTTAATTTCTATACTTGTGTAATAGAAAAAATTTCTAATTAGAGACTGAAATTGAATCGAATGAATATACCTTTATTCGATTTGTTCGTTGGAACGTAAATCCAGCGAAAAACAAAAACAATATAAAACGATCAGTAGTAGAAGAATGTGAAATATATTCAAATACAGTTTGATAAGTACGAACACATAATGCGCATCATCTGCTGTTTTATTTAAAAAAAAGGAAGATAAAATACGAATTATCATCTTCGAGTCTTCTGCTGAACGACAGTTTTTATCATCTTGTTTGGATGGTCATTGAGTAACAGTTGAGTATGATATAACCAAAAAAAAGATCGAACAAAAATTTTTTGCTATGTCCAATAGTCGAGATATGTGAAACAATAGAATAAAGGCTCAAATGTTCAAATGTAAATGTATAAATGATATTAATTAAATTGACTAAATCATATTACGTGAAGCTCATAATTGATTCAAATAAGTCACACAGATACAAAAGAAAAGAATAATAGTTAAGAAGTTATAATAAAGTTTATCTAATTTTTATAAACAGAAGTGTTAGTTACGAATATGTAATCAAATGATGCAGACATAAATTATAATTAAAATATTTTTTAATAGGTTGAAGACTTTTTTAATAGGTGTTTATTTACAACTTCATAACAATCTTTTAGTATGATTAATTTAATAATAAAAAGACATTTTAATTTTTAACGATATAAATATGTCAGAAAGAACAATGCATCTTTGTAATTATGTCAAGATTATACTGAGTGATTTCTGCCTATTACTTCATTTGCATATGTTTAAAGTTCCCCTCAAAAATCGATCTTGTCTCAGGAACATGCACATCGTATGAAAATGATGTTTTAGGAAGATTATTCAACAAACAAGGATCAAAAATAGCTCATTTGGCAACCAAAAATTCTCGGTGGGTTTTCATTCTGTAGACTTAATTTTTTGTTTAAAAGAGCATGACAGACCTCTTTGTGTTAAATTCTTAATTTTTAAGGAGAGAAAAGTTCAATTTCTCAAAAATGGCGTCCTAATTATAGGAGTACTCTTTTATATAATAGTAACAAAGCTTAATTCAAAAACAGGGGCTCTGTCATGCACTGCATCTTGATATGCTCTTTCAAACAAAAAAATAAATATTAACTACAATGAAGTTCCTTCGAGAATTCAGGGATGTGCGATCAAAAAAGTATAAGCAAAGAAAAAACGAGAATGATTTTTTATTTTTTTCGAAAGCCACTTATTTTTCAAGGGGATGATGATAGAAATCATACAAAAAATTTCGGCAAAAAAAAGGAGGTACAGAATAAAAAGTCTTGGTGTTTCTGAAAGATCAGACCACGAGCTATCTTTCCCTGGATCATATCAGTTCTGTTATGCATTATCGAAAAACTGCAATTATAATAACTAAAACAATATAAGAAGAGGAGTACAACGAAAATGTAGGAAATAAATTATACTCACAAAAACAGACAAGGATATATATAAATCGGTTTTCGTCAGAAAACAAAATTTTCCTGGATAAAGATTTTGTAATATTCTTTTTCTGGCTCATATGTCAAACGACAATCTTTTTTGCTTTAGTGCATTTGATAGCTTCAAAAAAAAAAGTTTTACATATGATATGAAACTCAAATTGTTTTTAATTATTCTTTGTATGGTTGCTCTTGAGACATCATGTAATTTAGCCAATTGTCTTGTCGATTGTTTCTTTTTGGTGTAAAGAATATAGTAATTCATTCAATGAAACAATATTTTTGTTCAATTTTGATCTGTACTTGTTTCCAAAATGTATTGCACGTGATTCTTTGAACATTTTGATCCATCTGTAGATCGTTAGATTTTGCCAATTTCATCAGTCGATTGTTTCGAAGTTTGTCAGTCACTTAATCCTTGTTCATTGCTGAAATTTTTGGATGAATTTTGTAAAAAAGTTCTTGATGTTGAGAAATTTTGAAATGAAAAAAAAAACAGAAAGGAATGGCAGAGAAGTTATTGACAACAAACCAGACGATAACATCTCTAAAAACTGATTTGAAATATCGGAAATTTTTAAAAATTATATATCTATTTTTGTGTTACGGCGGTTGGAATCTTCAGCAACTATGTTGGACAACGGCAACACCAGCTCAACCGATGGATTTACACCTCTATAAATGATAGTAGTTTGTTTACTCTGAGGAACTACAGTTCATTTTTGAAGGAATAACATTGAGGGAAATATAATCATTTCATAAAACGTGATTCCGTTACGAAACCATTTCTTTTCTCAAAAGTTATTTCTTTGTACATATAGAACATTATCTAAGCTATAACTTTTCTGCAGAAAGTGTTTTTTGTCGTAATTTTAGTTGAGCTATATTTTACAATTTTTTACATAAGACTCAAACTCAATATTCAGTTTTTGTAATTCTGTTGCAATCCTATATTTCAATTATTAAATTGTCAAAAAAGATTCGAATCTAATGAAACTTTCAAAATGTATAGAATGATTTCACTTAAATATATTCTAAAAATATCACTTATATGTAACTTTATGCAATTGAGATACAGAAAATATGAAATGAAAAAAAAAAACGTGATTCCGTTATGTTTGAACAGGTCGATTACAAGCTTTCTTAAATATCACATATATTAATCGATTATTACTAATACTAATATCTTCATAAATATGTTTCATGGAACCGAGAAATTTGTAATTGTCTTCATATTAATCAATTAAGAGATTAAATGAATACTAGTATCGAGCATTATATCCATTAGGATTAACATTAGTTTAAATATGATTTTAGTATTTTATTATATATTATACTCTATTTTTATTGACATTTAAAATTAAGTAATGGATTCAAAGTAAATACGTAATATTTAACTATAATGTCTATAAGATGTTGCTTTTAACAAGTTCCAACACTATGTATAGTTATTATTCTCATTGATTTTTGAATTTCATATATAAGTAAAAATTTCAATAACAATTCATAATCGTTAATTATAAAAATGAAATAGACATTGTAAATATTACAGAAAAAGAATCAAAAGAAAATCTTATATTTGACAAAGAGATTATAATCATCTAAATACTAAATATTATTCATAATTTTGTTTTACATGTTGTTCTTCTTGTAAAGAATATTGATTTAATTGAGACATTGAAATTTATATATATATATATATATATATATATATATATTATGTGAAATGATATATTTTCTAATATCAAACAATTAAACATGTTAGTTTTGCTGTAAACTTTTTGAATCAATAAGAATCATACTACGTTCAATGTTGATGTTTATGAAAAAATTAAAGCTTCAGATCTATATAAAAGAAGGGAAGCACACAAGATATTGATAATGAAGTTATCATTCTCTATGTTAAAATTAACTATTCGTATTGCTGATTCCTACTATCACAGCTATATGTGTCGAATTATTTCTTATCAAGTCATTGTTGTTGAGAGAAAGAATTTTGAATATTATGTATTCAAATTTCACATTTTCTTACTGTTTGAGTACCACTACTGGCAATTAAACTGTTCTAATAATAAAATAGTTTGAAAAAACAAAGTGGGTACAAATTCCAACGTATATCTATTCATTTTTGTATAATCCGAACAATCACAAAACGAACAACCTATAAGCATGTGTTTTTGTTCTCAACAGAACAAAATACGAACGTTTGATTATTTCAATAAACTTTCTTCACCTTTTTCACCAATAAAAAATAGCTACGTAGGTGTTTGATAATAATACAATGAAAAACTACCTAAACGCTGGATGTGAAACGACCATTCTAATTAGCAAATAATCAACAGATGACAAAGTTCTCATCATGTGATTCTTATATTCTTCAAACGACATTGATATGCTCGGGAAAAAAAAGTATATAAAGGGAAGCATATCTCTGTCTATCTTCATTCATTCACATCATATTTCGATCTTCATTTCGT